AGGTAATACAATTCGTCAGTTTTCGCGCTGGCGAGACGCAAATGAAACCATTTTAATCCATAGATTCGCGGTCTAATTTTATATCTACGAAATTTTACCGTTCAGACTTATCAGACCGGAAGATTGGAAACTGCTGAAAAACTTTTTTGAATACGAGTTCCTTTTCATTTTTTTTGTTGTTCTTTTTTTTTGATGCGCATTATAATTTATAGCAAAAACACTGAATTATATGACGCTATTATAAATTTCCGAAACATTGCCGACCTTATACCAAGGAAATTACGATAGTTAAATGTCGCAGCTAAGTTTCTAAAAATAATTGTATTAACTAACTTTCATCTGAGAAAATCATATGCATGCGAAAGTACTAAGCATTGAGGTTTTCAGCCGAGAACCTGACTTTGCCCGATGTGATAATGAGATATTGGGCTCGAGGAAATCTCTCCCACGTAAAACCAGAATCTTTGAATTCCCAGTTTTGAAATTGATTTAAAACTGGTTTCAATATAGCAAAAGTCGTAGCCAAACAAAAATTATTGTTAAAATTCTTTGACGCCAAGGTTAGCGGGGAAAATTTTCTTTCACGGCTGGTTCAGACCAGAGTGTACATCAAAAGTAAGCCTAAATCGTTTGTCACATACTTAATAGGTCATTTCACTTTTAGCATGATTACAACTTTGTTCTGTGTTTTGTATCTTCAACAGAATGTTATCCACCGTGCAATTAATCGAAAATAAACTATAAATATAGAGAGTTATTGAATTAAGAAAAATCTTTAATTCTTACTGTTTGAACGGCTTTTTTTTAGCGAATTTTATTCCTCCGTGAACTGGTGATCAAAAAATTGACCTTGTTGTAAAATACAGCAATTGAATACAAGACACAACCCAAGCTAAAAAATCCGTACCGGAGGCCTTCGAAACATGATTTTTTCAAGTAATTTCTTACCTTCATTCACTCGTGAAATATCCACAGATATTCGATTTGTCTGATTTTGAAATGAAGAAAAAGGCCCGGCATTTTGCCTAATCATGCAGTGGTTATAGTAGCGCGTGAAATGAGACAACTATTTCGTCGTGGTTGAATAGCTATCGATATTTGCCTTTGTTTGGGGTCAAAAGCACCTAATTATTTCGTTTCCGGGTGATAAGGGTCTTATATACTTTCCGTATTGACCATGGCATATACATATTTTCAAATTAAAAAACAAAGACCCTTCTTCCTTCGCGCAGATTCATATTCTGCTACTTTACGTTGTTGAGTTTGTTTCAACGCGTTTTACAATCATCGGAAATGTTGGTATTCCTCATAAATAAATTTAATGTTTCTTTAAAGTGCATGCATCAGTAATGATTAAGGACCCAAAATACAGCAACATAAACTACATTTTTTGCTAAGAAATTCAAGGATTATTTGATTCTCTTGTCAACAAGTTCCAAAAATAAAAATGCAAGGTTTCCTTCTCAAGAAGTCACTTCCCCATTTACTGAAATACAATCCCAGTTTTACATGTACAGAGGTACATCTGATTGCAGTCGATTTTTTTTTTTGCGCTGCAGATTTAGGGATTAATTCAACGTGCTGACCCATGGTCACCTAGAAAGAAAACTGCTTGTCTCCAAGAGATTCAAGAAGATTTCGCCTTAAACCAAAGCGACTTAAGATTTGAATCTTGGGTGGAAATCATTTAGCGCAAAATAATACCTTGGCTAAAACGATCTCAGGCTGAAAGTTCCAGATATCGTTCATTTGAACAATAGATTTAATGCTAGGAAACGTAACTGTAAAAAATTTTCGCTCTGCTTTTATGGATGGTCGATATTGCTTTTGAAATAGCCGGGAAACAACAGAAAGGAACTTACAAATTACCATCAACAGAGACTTTTCAACCGGTCGGCTATTCAATATTGAGATCGAGAAACCAAATGTACAGTTACAAGTAGGCTTTGTAGTTTACAAACATATTCGTTTAACAAACCGAAGCAAAAGCTTGAACTCACTATCATCAAACTTTTACTGTTCCTCAAATCTCCCCCACTGAGATAATCTTCGACTTACACTGTCGCTCAAAAAAATATCCATCCCTCAGCTATGATGTTTGAAAATCCTTAATTTGCACTCACCAATATATTTGTGGATTCGCTCCGGACGTCCAAACTCGCCTTCTCTGTCGGGGTTTTAGGATTAAAGAATCTTTTCTCCGATATAATACCTTAAACTGCCTCAACAACTACGCAATTAGTTAACTGCGAGGCAAACAAAGTTATTGAAAGACCCTCATGAATAAAACACAAATATCAATTATTTCTTCATTTAATCTTGCTAATCGCTGATTGTCTCGTGGAAAACCATCGAAGTGGCACGTCTCACAAAGCTGCCCAATATAATAATTGCATTTATGATCTGTTAAGAGTACTTTAGAACTTCAAAAATGTTTGGGAACGATCGTGCTTTTCTGACACGCTCTATTGTATTGAAAGAATGAAAATAAAAGCTTTGGGTTTGATTGGTCTGGAATAAACAAAAACGATTGCCGGAACTCATTTGTTTGACATATGTCGATGTCAGTTATTTCGTTGTGAAAACTTTTCAGAATTAGCATTTGCTGACAATCAAGTTATCAAGTTGTTAAACGAAATTACATCTCTATAAAGCGGTTAGATCAAAACCATCTCCGCATATTTTGGACGTGCAGTGATAAACGTCAAAAGTTAATTCAGGAATTAATGCAGATTCTGACTTCTAGAAAGTTCAGCACCAGTTGACCCTGGAGTGAAAAGTTTTTTTTGTAACTGCAGCCATGATATCGATTTGCAGTACAACCAATCGTGCACGAACAGTCATTTCATTCCAAGAAATCAATTAACAGTTTTTTTTCTTAAACCTGGTAGCTTTCGTGAGAGAAACCAAGCATGTTTAAAGACTGACAACAATTAGAGATCTTTTAGCTCTGTATTAGTGCTTCACCTCTCTAACAACTTGATATCGATTTCACAAATTTCAAATTGAAAAGTAGGTGATGGAGAACGAATGTCTCATTTAGTCTAATGAATTGAAAAATTATTTATTCAAACAACTGCAAACGGGAAATACAAGCAAAAAGCGTTCAATAAAAAGTGATATATAACCAGTTTTCTTGCCTGCAGCATCCTGTGTAAATCGTATTTTTTGAAATCAATTAATTGTCTACGCTGCTAAATTGCGCTTTAATCATTTACATTGTCAGTGGTTGTAACAGCAGGCACACAAACAAATTGTTAGGCCGAAACCACGTCACTAGTTTCCGTGTAAAAGGCTTTACAATTTACTCTTTGTTTTATTTTTCGATCTCATTTTTCGAAAAAAGTACCCAACTGGGAAGAAATCAATATCCATTGCGTCAGAAAAAAGAACATATTGAAAATATGAGGTTTCTGTCTGTTGCAAATTAAAATTCACCCGTTTTCCAGTCCTTCATTTCTCACCCAAGAAGGAGAATGTTTAGACTTAGTTTCCTGCATAAACTAACACGATAGTCAAATGAAGCCCGAATTTAAAAACCTTCCAACAAGTAAAACAGTTCAACTAACCAAATATTGAGGAAACGGCAAACAGCATTTTTAGGTAATAAAGTTAGCGAATCACGTTGTTCATTCGTCTTCGTCAGCAGGGGAAAGATTCCGAAATAGCTCGGTAAACGCCCTCCAAGTTCAGTCATAGCAGGCTTTAACAATGGAAGATATGTTAATATTTAGGTTTAATCGTAGCTGAAAATATCAAAGGGGGATTGAGGAAGTCAGTTACATTTTCGGAGCCTTGTTATGGATGAATGCGATTAAAATTGAGAAGGCTAAAAATTTAATTCGAAAGTTCCGAGTGTGTCACGCCCACAGAGTAATTGAACTCTCCCGTGAAGCGTTCCCACGGAGGCGCAGCAAGAAACTATCATGTTTGGAAAGAGTTTACCTCTAGAATAAAGACCTTCTTGGAGAAATTTCCCCTTCATATCGGAAGACTACGAAAATGATGGTCACAGGCACGTTCGCCAAAATTCATCGGTTCTTGCGGAATTATGAACTTACAGCCAGATATTTTGCATGTATGCTCGTTTCTACTCTCTTGCCATCATATGTGGGTCAGGAGCAGAGTATCACCTGCGTAAGGTATGCATTTTCAACATTAACTTTGAAATATTTCTTATTCTCATGGAGCAAAATAACTGCGTGCTTTTTTCAGATTTTCGAAGATTTTGATCACTTACATCAGCCTGCTGGATAGGACCCGTTTCAGTTAACCGCGAAAATTGATTTCTGTCTAAGCAGCCACCCTTCGAAAGACGTGGGTGTTCCGACAGTTGCTTTCTGTGCTGCATCCTATCAATGGGAATGAAATTTTACACGTAGACTTGACTTGAACGTGATTGGTCAATCCGGCTGTCCTAATTAATTTACCTAACATTTCCAATTGTATTTTGACAGAATTGAGCGAGTGATGATATCAGTCGCTTATATAAAACCTCGAAGAATTTAAAAGAATCGTATATCTGCAGTGAATTCGATCGTTCAGAGAATCATGAAGCATGGATGATGTTACAAACCTTAATAAAAGTATGATTTCACGAAAATCAAACTCTCATTTTCTTCGATCTTCTTTTTTGTTTTGAAAAAAAAGGGGGTGTGTTTCCTTTTATCGAAAGAAATTTTTTTGAAATGATTGATGCCCTCGTTTTAGGGCTTCTCCTCCTTCTTAGTTTGCACGCTATCGACGAACAGAAAGAAGAAAGAACAGATCCTTGTCACGCAGTCATTGCACAATATGATCACGCAATTGCTCTCTCGCCACACGTTGTGTGACAAGCCTACACGAAGGTTGCCCTCTCTTCTTACATAGGGAACTGCGTGTTTGTCATGTGAGGGTATTAATTGCTCCCGGTAGTGTTTATTTATGACTTTTGATCACTAAAAACACAACTAAATAAATCCAAACCAATCTTGAAGTTTTAAACTTCGGGATTATCTTGCGCCCCAATTTAACCCCCCACAAAAGGCACTAAAATAAATGCACCAGAGTTAGTTGTCTGAAATGCATAATCTCCGAGTGTGCAAGCATTGTGCATGTATGTTCTAAGCGTGAAAGCATTGTGCCTAATGGGTGCAAAAATGAGAAGCCGTAAGCATGATGTGTGTGAAAATTATGAAAAAAAAACATCAGTTATTTAGCGATTAGATTTTTCTTGGTTCCTCCAACATTATCAATACCATTTCTTTAGTAACATGGGAGCAAAAAAGCTAATTTTGCTGATATTAAACATATAGCATAACATAATCCATAACAAAACTTAGAGGGGCATTCAAACATCACAATGGCTATTTCCTCCTAAATTTTCATTAACTCTGCTGCTTGTAGGAAATCCTTGGATCCAACCCTGTCACTCCAATGAGCAACCAAGAAATAATTTCTCCTCACTATATCAATACAATATCAACAGACAAGTGATGAGAATAAAGAAAAACTTAATTGAGGAGATACCAAATTCTCCCACCAAACATCATAAGAATTGTACAATAGACGGTAAGGAGAATTACCAGCACTCATGAGATCTTCAGAGTGAAAGGGTTAGAACACTTCCAACTGCCTAAAGACATTTCCTCCCAGTGATGGAAACATCCCCAAAGACTGAATTTTAAACTATCTTATACAAAAATAAATCACATGTACTACACAACAGTGGCACCAAAATGTACTCTTGGAATCGACATATTATTTACGTAACTCCACTGGTTAATTTCAGGGTCATAGACCTCAACACTTGACAAGAACTGTCCATTAAAGCCGCCAATAGCAAAAATCCTTCCTTTCATTACGGCAACACTGGTAGCAGAGCGCTGTTCATTCAGTGGACATGCTGCAGTCCAAGAATTTGTCTCAGGATCATAGACATCAACATTACGAAGATAATTGTTCCCATCAAATCCACCAATGACATACAAGAGGCCACCAAGGGCTGCTACACCAGCAACAGATCTTGGCTTACCTATCAGACAATGGAGAAGAAATTGTTATACACGCTAATATTATAATCACACTTTGATCAATGTCAGTATCGGAGCAACTGTAGACATACCCCTCTCCTGACCCAACAACAGAATCAATTTTGGGTTAGTGAAGGGGTAGGTATTGACATTGATTCAATACTTCTATAATGAGAATATGTTATTGCATTTGGACAAAGCCTGACTGCAAGCCTTAGACATAAACAAATTTTGTGGTTGGGAGTGTTGGGTGAGTATATATCTAGTGGAGGGTGGCTTTCAAGCTGAATTAAAGATCAAAAACTTTTGAAACAAACTGATTTGTTTTCTTTTAAAGCTGGGGGGGTGGGGCATAGAAAGGAGGGGACTCATTAGGAAGGGGGAGTTATCAGATATTGAACCCCTACTAAGGGGGGACCTATTAGCATGATTATGGAACATCCATGTGGAATTATTATAGCATTATTACTCCTAATGTTTGTTGAGGGGAGGGGAGAGAACAGCATACCAGAGAGTCCCAGACCCCAGAACTGGAGGTTGCAGAGGCTAGATCTCTGTGACAACTACCTAAGATATATCTACTGCCAACCAAAATTCAAAAGATTTGATTGCATAGTCTAACTGTTGAGCTAAAAGTTATCCAGAGGAGGGCTGTCATCTGTAGTAGTTACTTTCATACGAACCAACAGACTACAAAATCAAATATTACTCCCAGGTTTACACCACTGGTATATACAAAATTCAAAATGATATAACAGTGCATCTCTTTTGTAAAAAGTTGGAATCAACAGTCATACCTAAGGGAGTCACATAGCTCCATTCATCACTCTGAGGGTCATAGCACTCCACACTACTCAGGCGTGATAAGCCATCATGTCCTCCCACGGCATACACCAATCCCCCCAGTGTTCCAACTGCTAAGTACATTCTTGGGCACAGCATAGGTGAGACAAAGGTCCATTGATTCTCATATGGATCAAAGCATTCTACACTTTTGAGCCGATGATGGCTGTTGGAGCCTCCAAAAGCAAAAATTTTACCACCGAGGGAGGTTGCACCAAAGTACTTTCTAGACACAAGCATCGGTGGGCGTATCATCCATGAATTTTCCTCAGGCTCATAAGCTTCAACTGTGCTCAAGTACTTCCCACTTTCAAATCCTCCCAGACAATATATCTGTCCATGAAGTTGAGTAACAGCAACACCATACCGCAGGGTAGGCATGTCTTCAATAGGTGACCATTCATCAGTGTACATGTTGTATTGTTCCCCTGATGCCACAGGACTACCAAGGTGGAGACCACCAATGGCAACCATGACATCAGCAAACCCCGAGTGGACTCGTGGCCTCATTCTTACTGCTGAAGAGTGCTTACGCTTTTCAGATGAAGGGGAAGAAGCATAGGAAAGGGCTTCATCTAGCATCTGCTTACACTCAGGATCATTTATAACCCACTCATTACTCATCACCTGTGAACGGAGAAATGTAGGAGACAAAACAGGTAGCCGTACACAACGTAGTATTTCCGACGAGTATTTCAGGCGATCGCCAAAACACGTCAACCATTCAACAGCTGCATTATAAACATCTTCCTCTGATCGAATGCACACATTTTCGTCTGAAAGCAGATCTTTGACTGCGTCTAACGACAGATCCTTGAACTCATCACATTTTATTACCTCATTGAAGTGTTTTACAGCAAACTTGCGCGCCTCACTCCAAAGTTCTTCGCAGGAAAAGCCACCGGCAATAGCTGCTATTCCCAAGCAATTTGACGGCCGAAGTTGCTCTTTAAGAAACTGGCAACAAACGGTAGTAATTTCTTTCATCTGGAAAAGGTCCGAAGCGCTAAGAACATCGTCAACATTTGCGTCATTCACGTCTATTGAAGAGGTGTACACAAACCGAACAATACATCGAAGAGCTTCACCGGTAACCCCTTTTAGAGTGATGTCTTCTCTTCTACTCTCTTTCAGTTGTCCCAAGAACATGGCCCTGAAGTATGGGCTGCCGACGGAGAGAACATTGCGGTGTGCCGATATCGAGAAACCATCTTCTGTTCGAAGGATTACATCACAAAGCTCTTCCAGATCGAGTAAAGATTCCAATCCTTTGAGAACAAGAGCAGCATTTTTGCTCGAAAGATATCGGAAAGAAGACATCGTCCGCCAATTCGTTCCCAAAATAAATTACTGAGCTATTCGTTGCTCGTATGTTACTCTTCCTTACCTTTCCAGTGTTATATAAATATTATAATGAGCACGGTTAATTAGTAACGAATAACAAAGGAAGCAGCAAAGATGACGAGTGGGCTTATCTCAATTAGGTTTACCGCTGACACTGATGATAAAGACTTGAAGCGTTCACCCGGAATCTTACTTTCCACGAGTAGTTTGCAAATCGTACGTCGTCGTAAATCGCGCGCGACCCCAGTTTTTCAAAGATGCCTACAACAAACCAACAGAGCGATCAATTTCAACAATTTCTGGACCAGAATCAGTATTCCAGCAACAGTATTTTACGTTATGAGAAAATTTTCGGACGTGGTTTTGTTAGCACTGGAGGTCTTGAAACAACCCAGGTAAGGTACATCAGGAGATCCAAGTAATTTTACTGGGAGGTAAAATCTCATTTCCTCTCTTCCTGCAATCTAGTGTTATTTACAAACGTAATTTTTAGCTCATTCGCTGTCGCAGTTAACTCTTTGAGCGGCTAATTTGACTTACGCGAATAAATTTTTTTAAATTTTTTTATACTTGGGACGTGTAATATTTCGAAATCGATCAGCCCCCAATGGAATCTTTTCTAGAAGAATTCGGTGAAATCAATCAGTTTTGATCATTAGCCGTGAACTGAGCCAAAAAATATCATGCAGCAGCCAAAACACAGGGCTTTCATCTGTAAATCCTAGATATGTGTCGCAAGTTTTTTGCAAGCAGATGGAAATCTATATTCTCCCTCACATATCGTGCAATCGAAGGAGAAACTTTTCTTTGACCAAAAAGCGCGCAACATCTTATAACATCCAAAAATGTTGCAACAAAACTTTGGCCATTTTCAAACTTGATCCAACACAGTCCAACATGTTACAACATGTTGCTACAGGGTGGCCAAATGCGAGTGACATAAAGCATTTTTTCATTGTTTTCATCCTTATTTTATTCTACAGGAAATTGTTGCAATGCTTAGTTTAAAACCAGGTCAAAAAGTTCTTGATGTTGGTTGTGGAATAGGAGGATCTGGTTTCTACATGGTGAAGGTATGACCTGACCCTTTTTTTTCTGTCACTGGTGGAGAAAGCTGGCTCTATCAGAGTAGAGAGCATAGAGCTAAGCTAAAGCTGTCACGCCATCTACCCGGCAAATTGTACTGTGTCCAACCTTTTTTAGGACTTCTCTCTAGCTTTTTTCTGTTAATTGAAAGTGAAATTTCAGAACAAGTGAGATGGCAAGTAGCAACAGAGGAACCAAACAAGGGTTTTTTAACATGCCAAGTGCCATGTGTTATGTTGTCATAACAACTACTTAACAACTACTGCAACAAAATTTTGTGTTACATTGGACTGTACTGTTTCTTACTTAGAATTTTAAAGTGGAAGTATTGGGTGTTGACTTGTCAACAAATATGATTGACATAGGAAAACAGAGAGCCAAGGAATTTAAGGATGACAAGGTAGAATGTGCTTACATGTAACCTTTAACTGCATGAAGTGATTACCACAGTAACATGTAATTTCTCCCCAAAATATCTGTTCATTATCCAGCAACAGATGATGAGAATACCCAAACTTATCAGGTAGATGTTGTTATCTTGATCTAACACCAAATTCTTGTAACTCATTACCAAGGAAAGGTTTAGGAGCTAGAGGGGAGAATGAACAATCAGACGTCAGTAAGTGTAAGGCATGATGTAACACAGTTAGAAAATACTTGTTACAACTAAATAAATGCAAGTTTTTGTGATCATGAAAGCAAAAAAAATTTGCTAACAGGTTCCCATACCACATGCATCTAGAAATTAGGTCAAATGTATATTTTAATGTAATCTTGTAATGGTACAATTTATGTACACTCCGTTGGTTTCTGTAAACATGGTGTCAGTGAGGTTTTTTTTAGTTGTGGGTAGGTTCTTGAAAATTTGCAACTCTTTTTTTTTTGTCATGAAGATGTCATTGCAATTTTGCTGCATTGGAAATTTGTAACTTCAACATATGCTAAATGCATGGAAACAAATGTTATGTGAACTGAAATTTTCAAGTGAAAATGGCTTAAAAGTTACACAGTGATACATGTAGTAATCATGTGTTTGCCAGTAAATTTTGTAGCTCAAGCACTAAACTTTCAAGTTGTCCTTTGTGTTTTCAGGTTGAATTTGTGGTTGCTGACATAACAACAGCAGATTATGCCCCAGAATCATTTGATGTTATTTACAGTAGAGACACAATTCTTCACATTGCAGACAAAGAATCCTTGTTTAAGAACTTCTTGGTATGCCATTTTTTTTTTGGAATAAATGATTGCTTAAAATGAAGATCCAAGTGAATTGTGACACAACAGTTGTCTCACCCTCTGTTTCAGAAGAGAATGTAAAATTATTTATAAAGAAGCTATGTGTAGTAGATTATTAGAACACACCAAGTTCTTACAATTTTTTATTCAATTCAAACTTGAATATGCCATAAAAAGCTCTGCAAGATGTAGACTCATGCTTGTTGACAAAAAATTCATCATTCGATCTTTTCTCTCATTATACTGTACATGTCCCCTTGTCTATGTAGTACTACATGCATTTCGTGAGTTCCAGTTGAGTGATTGCTTATAATTCTGTTCATCTTGATTAGAAATGGTTGAAGCCTGGAGGAGAGCTTCTTATTTCTGACTACTGCCGTGGTGCTAATGAACTGTCTGAGCAGATGAAAGCATATGTTGCTAAGCGACAATATCACCTCCTGACTCCAGCTGATTATGGAAAGGTAAGGACTGAGAATTTGTTGGAAAACTGGGCTGCTTTTCATCTTTCTTAAAAATACAATTGACCAGTACTTGAATGTTAAAAACAATTGTGGGGACTACATTTGCATTGGCAGTCACCAATTTTGTGACCTGTAATTTTTACCTGTAATTTTTATGTATCTGTGTTTGTTTTTCTTTAGCTTGTTGTAAAATGTGGTCAGGGGTTTAATATGTCATATAATATTGAAAACAGTTCTTTTCAGTGACTGGATTATGAATTTAGATGATCTCAAAGTTAATTTGAAGAAAATGGAGCCTACATGCAGAACCTTGATTTATGATGAACTGGAATTTACTCTTTTGAGACCTTCTAAACTTTTCCTTGAAATTTAATGTTGATTTTATTATTTGCAATATTTAAACTGGCTGGCCAATCATCTTTAAAGCTAGGTAACCCTTTAAGTTCCATTAGTGACCTAGACAGAATTTCTCCTTACATTATCAGTTTGATATCTAGCAGACAAGTAATAAGAATAAAGAAAAATATCAGTTAGGGGATTATTGGTTGATCCAATTCCAAATTCTCCAAACTAACATCACATAAATTGTATGGCAAGCAGTGAGGAGAATTACTAATGAAATCTTGGGAGTTTAAGGGTTAAAATGGGGGCCTGTTTAAACAACAACAAGGCCAGACCATGTTTTCTGTTAATCTGTGCAGAGAAGTTGGAGGAAGCAGTGCCTCCTGTTTTCCTCCTTATTCCACAAGACTAGAATGTCCCATTATTTGTAGATGATATAACAAAGGCAGCACATTCTACTTTATGATTTTAAAACCCAGAGTGTTGATCCAGTGAGGGGAAATTGATCATGAAAGTTTGGAATGGTCTGACCAACCCATAATATAGATCATTTAATCTCACTTCTTCAAATGACTAGAGAATTCAGTAATAATTTTATCAATAAAATTTAATTGGAACTAGATCAACAGCAACATTTGGTTAGATATAATTCCTGCTAAGGCATGTAGACTCAAATTTAAGATGTCCAGACTGTTGTCAGAACAAGTTAAAATTTGAAACACAAATATAAGAATTTTAAAGTTGTAGGAAAATCCTTTTTCAAAGCTTTTGTAACATTTTTTTTCCTTTTTTTTCAAATAGCTTCTTGAGAAGGTTGGTTTTGTTGATGTAAAAGCAGTAGACAACACCAAGAGATTTATTGAAGTTCTTAAGTCAGAGAGGAAAAGATTTGAAACAGACAGGGACATCTTCTTGAAGGTGAAAATATTTAAAGCTACACTTGTGCTGTGGATCATTTGTATCATTAATTCATATAAGAAACATTTTAAAGGTCAAAATCTGAGGTTAGGCACACTTGATGAAAAAACTGATCTTATCGCTAAATTTTTTACACCCTAATATCAATATGCATATTCTCCATACTGTTCTCTAAACATTTCCTATGGTTCTGACACAGAGAGAATTAGTTAAAACAATCAAGAGCTTCTTTACTCGATCATTTCCCTATATTATCATGGCCTTAATGTTTGATTCAGGGGTGATGCTCTTAGAAGAAATGAGATGCTGGTACTTGGAGGGTTTTAGAGTTAACAGTTGATTTTCTTGTTTATTTGTTTTTTGTCTTTCAAAACAGGATTTCAAATCGGATGATTTTGAATACCTTGTTGAAGACTGGGAGACAAAGATTGACCGCTGTGGCCGTGGAGACCAAAAATGGGGTCTATTCCATGCCAAGAAATCTTCTTAAATCACTTTTTGCACAAAAAGAAGAACTTCGCGTGTAAGCGAATTTTCCAAAGCGCCGTAGGAATCATATGTAAAGTTTTTAACGGCTATTATAGGAATCAAATCTTTTTGGTGCTCAATTTTTATTTATTAGCTATTTTTGTAAGCACATGCATGTATCTCCAAAAATTAATTTAAGAAAGGTTAATAAATCAGGTGGTGCTTTTAACATTTGGTTATAGTTATCATTCGATAAGGCTTGACCTAGCCTAAGGTACACGCGCCATTTGTTTGCATTGTTTAGGCGGGCAGTGGTAATTGCGGGAAGCCCGCGAAGGCTGAGACACGCACGAAAGGAAGAGCACGTGACTAATTCGTTCGCCTTGCACCCAATGAAATACAAAGTAAAGAAGACGCAAGCATCAGACGTGAGCACAGGACCCTCCATTTTCCATGTGCAACGTTCTAAAGTTCATTTTTACTGCACGTTTTAAGACGTGGACCAGAAAAATGAAACAAAATCTTAGTGGCCAATCAAGAACAGAATATCCGAAGGAGCCAGTGAGAATTAAAATCAAAAGCGTGAAAACGTGGGAGACCAAGTCTCAATTAGCATTCTGTTTTGCATCTGATTGGTCAAGAGGGAAGGGTTAGTATTATAGAGCGAAGTGAGGCAAGGTTCCCATCATGCGAAGCGGGTTTAAATCAAAATTGCGCGTCCTGTTTACTTCCGTGATACGTCTTAGGATGGGGAACTTCGTGCAGTGTCAATTTTCTCACAGTCCCGAAACTGAGGGCTACGCTAAATGACGCTCCGAGTTATTTTCACGTTCCGCAAGGATTGAATTTACCCTTAAAGTTTGCGCCACAGAAGTAAAGCCAGACTAAATCAGTTCAACATGACAAACAATCAGTTTCCTGCTACACTAATTTAGTATACGAGCTGAGACACGCGCGAGAGGAACTTGAGCTGCTTTTTTCAGAAGCGCAGTAGGAATCATATGATGAATGACAAAGAGTCAAATCTTTCAGGTGTATGGTGGCCCATTATGTATGGCCATAGATTTTTTTGATATCTGTCCTAACTATTTTGTGTTTAATTTTTTTTTTCATATTTTCGTTTTCTTTTCTTTCAATTTTTTTCCATTTCGAAAAAGACAACAAGAAGAGAAAAATACAAGTAAAATAAATGTCTTTTTTTAATTGAAAAAAAAAAAAGTGACACGGCCCATAATGACCAGAGGTCCATTAGTACGGTGGCCCACAACTGTTATGGTAAAACCAAAAAGCTCACGGCGAAACCAAATAGCTCACGGAAAAACCAAAAAGCTAACGACAAAACCAAACGGCTCACGGCAAAATCAAAAAGCGCACGGCAAAACCGGCAAATAGTTCAAAAAAGCTCTCGGCAAAACCGAAAAGCTCACGGCAAAACCAAATAGTTCACGGAAAACCAAAAGACTCGCGGAAAAACTAAAAGACACGTGGCAAAATCAAAAAGCCCAAAAATGGCTGCGCATGACGCTGAAAACAAGCGTTTTCTACCAGCATTTCCAAGTTCGTTTCTTTCTGCCTGTGCTCGTTAGGAGCACAGGCTTTTGAGAGCAGGAGCAGCATTTTTACTCGAAAGATATCGGAAAAAAGAATCGTCCACCGATTTGTTTCCAAAAGGAGTTACTGAGCCATTCATTGCTCGTAATTTACCCTCCCTTATCTTTGCAACTTCACAATATTTGATGGGCATGGTTAATTATTTTCCTAGTTAATATTATTAATAACAGAAGTAACAAAGGTTTTGCGCTTATCTCAATTATGTTTACCGCTGACAATGATTATATAAATTGAAGGGTTTTTCCCGGTAATACGATTGCACACTGTACGCAACACCAGCACTGTACTGTCCTACCCTAATTTTTCGAAGATGCCGACCACAAGCCAACAGAGCGATCAATTTCAACAATTTCTGGACCAGAATCAGTATTCCAACAATAGTATTTTGCGTTACGAGAAAATTTTCGGACGTGGTTTTGTAAGCACTGGAGGTCTTGAAACAACCGAGGTAAGGTACATCAGGAGATCCAAGTAATTTTACTGGGAGGTAAAATCTATTTTTCTCTCTTCCTGCAATCTAGAGTTACTTTGCAAACTTAATTTTTAGCTCATTCGAAGTTAGCCTTTGCAGTAGCTAATTTTACTTTCCCGAATAAAATTTTCTTTTTATTTTTTGATACTGCGGACGTGGAATATTTCGTAATCGATCAGCCCCAAATGAAATAATTTCAAGAGGAATTCGGTGAAATCAATTCAGTTTTGATCATTAAGCTTGAAGTGAGCCAAAAAATATCATGCAGTGCCATAAAACAGAGTTATAATCTGTAAATCCTAGATATGTATCGTAAGTTTTTGCCAGCAGATGAAAATCTAAATTCTCCCTCATGTATTGTGCAATCGAAGGAGTAACTTTTCTTTCGTCAATGATTTCTATTTTTTATTTGTGGTGCAGCTATTGTTGAAACCCAGCTTTTGCTCCTGTCATTGGGAATTCTCAGGAGTGACTTTCTGTTTGCGTTTTGTTTTTCTCTCACATTTGTGGACGAGTCTTATGACAAAAAAGTACTTTAAATTTTGCAGTAATGGTCATTTCACTAAATGGGGAATATGAATGAAACGAAATCCAAAATACATAGGGAAAAGAAAATGGAAAAGTGGGAAAAGAAAGCTAGGGCAAAAGAAAAACTTAATTTTGATTTCTTTGGCTTTGGTCTCTTACATGTTTTCTCTTTTTTATGGTGTGATAAAGACTATTATTTCTCAATGTTTTGCAAGATGTTTTACATGATTTTGTTGACGGTAACCTTAAAAAGGTCCTTTCACATACATGTAGCAAATATCTTAACTCAGGGATTGTGCACTAAGGTCCCCTACCATTCCTGTGGTGTTAACCCCCTACAGGTTATTTCATGAGGCCTTTGTTTCCTTTGTTCCAGGGATTTTGTAATATTGTGATCTTTCATTCCTTGTGATTTTAACCTGATACACAATTTTATATCCATGTATTTAGTTAAGGGGATGTGGTATCTTTGTTTATCCTGGGGATTATGTAGTACACCTGTCATCTTTCATTCTCTGTGGTGTCTACCCCAAAATTTTTCAAGCCTTTCCTCCCTGAGGTGAAATATGGGAACAAAGCAATTTTTTCATTTTTTTCATTCTCTTTTCTTTTTTTATGTAGGAAATTGTAGCAATGCTGAGTTTAAGACCAGGTCAAACAGTTCTTGATGTTGGTTGTGGAATAGGAGGTTCTGCTTTCTACATGGTGAAGGTATGACTTGTGATAAATCCCTTTTTATTGTACAGTGTATATATGCCTACTCTTTAGGTTTATTTAGTCGCCTCTTGGATAAACCTCTTGAACTCCTAGTTAAAAGGAAATGTTGATATTTTACAAATGAAATAAGGAAAATCATTTTTATTCTAATTGAAATAAGTTTTCTTACAACTTTATTTTTTTAATTTTCTCATGCACTGAGTCAATTTTATCAAATTTTAGTTTGTGAAGGGACTTGGATGAAGAAGGCAATCAACAAATTCAGGGGTATGGGCTAAGGGAAATCATTAGACTAGAATAATTCAACTTAGTTTTTTTTTGTGGTGCAACTTTATTTTCTTATGCTCTGAGTCATTATGCGGCTTTGCTTTGACAATACTGGTATGCGGAGGGGTGGGCTGGGGAGGGTGTTGGGGATCTTTTTAAGAATAAAAAAATCTTCAGATTTTTAGACTAATTCAGAGCTACATGTAGGACTACTTCTTGTTTATAGCACTACAATTACTTTTTTTAAAAGAGTTTTCAGATATCATCATTTTATTCATGAAAGCAATGTGGTAGCATGTTTTTAACAAAATTTTTTAGCTTTTAATTAACAACTTTTGTGGAATATTGTGTTAAATTGGACTATCTTGTTTCTCACCTAGAATTTTAAAGTGGAAGTACTGGGTGTTGACTTGTCAACAAATATGATTGATACAGGAAAACAGAGAGCCAAAGAATTTAAGGATGACAAGGTAGAATATGCTTACATGTAACCTTAACTTCAAGAAGTGATTAACATGTAATTTCCCCTTAAAATATTCGTACATTATCCAGCAAACAGATAATGAATACTTAAACTTATCAGGTAGAAGTTATCTTGATTGAACACCAAATTCTTGTAACTCATTCCTAAGGAAATATTTAGGAGCTAGAAGGGAGAATTAACAATCAGAAGTCAGTAACTTTAAAGTATGATGTAAACATTATGAGTAAATAAATGTTACAGCTAAATGAATGTAAGTTGTTGTAATAATACTTCAAGAAGAAATTCCCTTACAGGTTTTATACTACATGCATCTAGAAATTACTGTAGCTCATATAAATATCTTAACCCTTTAACTCCCAGATCAAATTTGTCATTCTCCGTACTGTCAACCATACAATTCTTATAATACTAGTTCAGAGAATTTAGTATTGGATCAACTAATAATCCCCGAGTTGATATTTTTCTTTATTCTTATCACTTATCTGGTTGACATTGTATTGATATTGTAAGGAGAAATTCTGTCTTGGTCACTCATGGGAGTTAAAGGATTTATGTAATCTTGAGATGGTACAATTTATATTATGTAAACATAGTGTTTTTTGTCATGAAGATGTCATTGCAATTTTGCAGCATTGGAAATTTCTAAGCTCAACTTAGGCCAAATGGAAACTACTGTGATGTGAACTGAGAATGTTTCAGATGAAAAAGGCTCAAAAGTGGTACATGTAGTGTTAAATAAATGTGTTTCTGAACTTTGTAGCTCAAGCACTAAACTTTCAAGTTGTCCTTTGTGTTTTTAGGTTGAATTTGTGGTTGCTGACATAACAACAGCAGATTATGCCCCAGAATCATTTGATGTTATTTACAGTAGAGACACAATTCTCCACATTGCTGATAAGGAATCCTTGTTTAAGAATTTCTTGGTATGCCATTTTTTTTGGAATGAATGAGTGCTTAAAGTAAAGACCCATGTAATATTGACCCAATGTTTGCTTTGCCCTGTTTCCCAAGGGAATGTCAAACATTTTGTTGAGAAACTATATATGTGCATTTGTTGGTTAATACAAACTCTCCAAGGGGACACACATCTTTGGTTAATATGTGAGGTGTTGACTGTAAATCTCTTGAATAGATTGTAATAAGATGGGTGTGGGGTGGACTACATATAGGCTTGAAAGAGTGTGTTTTCACTCATGTGTAGAAAGGTTCAACTGTGTTAAATGTTCATTTAATTTTAAATGAATTGAATTTTTAATTCAATATAAACTTCAATCTGCCAAAATAAACTCTGCTAGATGTGGGCTCATGCTCAGTGACAAAACCAGAAAAAAAATCATCATTCAATCATTCCTCTCATTACACTGTACATGTTCCCTTGTCTATGTACATGCATTTCATGAGTTCCAGTTGATTGATTTCTTATGAATGTGTTCATCTTGATTAGAAATGGTTGAGGCCTGGAGGAGAGCTTCTTATTTCTGACTACTGCCGTGGTGCTAATGAATTGTCTGATCAGATGAAAGCATATGTTGCTAAGCGACAATATCACCTCCTGACTCCAGCTGATTATGGAAAGGTAAGGGCTGAGAATCTGTCGGAAAACTGGGCTGCTTTTCATCTTTCTTAAAAAAATTAGATAGTTGAGATTTCTGCCAAGGCATGTAGCTTTCATTTAAGACATCCAGACTGTTGTCAGAACAAGTTAAAATTTGAAACATAAATATAAGAATTTTAAAGTTATAACAAACTCCTTTCTCAACTTTTGTGGAATGTCTTCTTCTTTGCATTAATAGCTTCTCGAAAAGGTTGGTTTTATTGATGTAAAAGCAATAGACAACACCAAGAGATTTGTTGAAGTTCTTCAGTCAGAGAGGAAAAGATTTGAAACAGACAGGGACATTTTCTTGAAGGTGAAAATATTTAAAGCTACACTTTAACTATATAGATCATTTTTATCATTAAAAAATCAGTGACAACAGGAAAGTTCTAATGGTCAAATTGTGAGGTTAGGCACAGTTCATGAATAAACTGATCTTGTCTTCTCATTTCAATCTTTACACCTCAACATCAGTATGTAAATTCTCCAAACTGTCCTTTATACATTTTCTATTGTGCTGTCACAGAGAATTAGTTAAACAATCAAGAGCTACTTAAATGATCATTTCCTATATTATCATGGCCTTAATGTTTGATTCAGGGGTGATGCTCTTGGGAGAAATAAGATGCTGGTCACTCGTGGGGTTTCAGAGTTAAAAGGCCCCCTCCCCCCCCTTTTTTTTTATCTTTTTTATTTGTTTTCTGTTTTTTCAAAACAGGATTTCAAAAAGGATGATTTTGAATACCTTGTTGAGGACTGGGAGACAAAGATTGACCGCTGTGGCCGTGGAGACCAAAAATGGGGTCTATTCCATGCCAAGAAATCTTCTTAACTCACTTTTTGCTCAAAAAGAGGAACATCGCGCGTAAGCTAATTTTCGGAAGCGCAGTAGGAATCATATCAAAATTTTTAACGTCAAAGAATCAAATCTTTTAGGTGCTTTATTTTTATTTATTAGATAAGCACATTGGTTCACGCTGCCCGTGAACTATTCGTACCTCCAAAAATTAAATAAGAAAGGTTAATAAATCAGGTGTTGCTTTTAACATTTGGTTATAGTCATCTTTCGCTTTAAGGCATATGCACGCGCCATTTGTTTGCATTGTTTTGGCGGTCAGTGGTAATTGCGAGACGCTCGCGAAGGCCGAGACATGCGCGAGAGGAAGAGCACGTGACTATTTCTTTCGCCTTGCACGCAATGAAATAAAATGTAAGGAAGACGCAAATATCAGACGTGAGCACAGGACCCTCCATTTTCCATGTGCAATATTCTAGAGTTCATTTTGACTGCACGTTTCAAGACGTGGACCAGAAAAGTTAAACAAAATCACAGTAGTCAGAATATCCAAATTAAAAGTGTGAAAACGTGGGGGACTAAGTCGCAATTAGTTTTCTGTTTTGCGTCTGATTGGTCGGGATGGAAGGATTTGTATTGTAGAGCGAAGTAAGGCAAGTTTCCCTTCATGCGAAGCGGGTGAAAGTGAAAATTGTGCGCCATGTTTACTTCCGTGATACGTCTTAACATGGATGGGGAACTTCATGCAGTGTCAATTTTCTCACAGCTCAGAAATTGAAGACCACGCTAAATGACGCTCCGCGCTATTTTCATGTTCCGCAAGTATTAAATTTCCTCTTAAAGGTTACGCTATAGAAGTAAAGCCAGACTATAAGCGCAATCAGTTGAACATGACCAACATCATTTTCCTGCACTATTTTAGTATACGCTACAGAGTTTTGTACAACTTAAACTGAGAACCACTCGTTCGTTTTCGCTCTTTATTACTATGTTGCCATGGAATTGTATGAAGGTTAAAACACCTGGTCATGTAACCGAAGTAAAGTGTGATGTGCTAGAAGTTTGTGGACCAGCCATATCTCCAGTGCTGAACAATAGAATCGCTGTCCAGCATAGTTTACACCCTTGAACTCTCAAGCTAATCAAGAAAAAGGAAAAACGATTGTGGACTTTGGAGATGTTGCACTCATTCCTACCCGGTCCCCCTCGGTCTGGCGCCTGCACTCTCAGCTGACGTTGTTAAAACGAGTTGACCGTTGACCGTTAATAAAACGAGTTGACCTTTGTTAAAATTTACCAGAAAACTTGCTAACAAAGGCACTGTCTGGTTCTTTGTTTCACTGCGTTTCTTATTTCCTTGTTCTTCCAGCAGTACAAAAACGGATTTACTGCCGAGTTGCAGAATAGTAGAGTTAGTGTTGCATCTAAAGCGAGATCAAGACTCGCCGTTCTCCATCTAGTCATGGCAAATACAGCTGCCACCGTACCATATGGGAGATAACAAGCCAGGAGTGCTAACTGCACCCACAAAGCACTGGAAACTGTTTTCTTGTATCGTGCTATATTTGACGGATTGTCCCATTTGTTAGGCTCTCGATGATAACTGATGTCTTGCACTTGATTTTGATGTTGACGGAGAGTCCGATAAATTATCACATAACACACAGTCGAGATCATTAGACACACAGATAGTATGATGCTGATCAATGTTGTGCAGAGGCGCAAGTCGTGAAACATTGTCATCGCTACACCAGAGCTGAGAAGCCAAAAGAGAAGAAGGGCGAGCCGCACTCGTTTCAACGTAACCACTTGTCGATATCGAAGTCTTAATAACATGGCGAGAAGTCTGTCCACACTTATAGTAGTCACAGTTAGAGATGACACGCCGCAAAATGTCCCCCCTATTGTGTACAGCAAGATAACAAGGTAATAACAAGGCTTGGAGTGTTCGGTAGACCATGAAAAGCTGAGGAATAGAGGCTGAGTGATTAACCCTACGCCCAGATCGGTACATGCGAGACAGCTGAAGAGGAATTTCGATGGTGGATGAAGGGACGATGTTGGTATCTTTCGAAGGGCAGCAATGATCAAAATATTTCCCATTACAGCGGTGACTGATAATGGTATATTTAGCGTTGACATGATTATCCTGAGATGCAATCCGTAAAGACTGAGTGGGCAATAAAATTCGTAGTTCCCGCCTTTGGTTGAGTTCGTCATTGTTATATTGATTCCGTGTAGACCTATTTCTTGCTGGTCATAACCAAGGTTGAGGTTCAACAGGCATGTTTCTAAGCTTCTCTCTCTATTTCTCATGAGTTGAAAGGGAGCCAAGAGCGTTGTCTCTTCGACGTCGTTTGAATGTCTTTTCTGGCAAGTAAAACATGCAAAAATACATCATTAATTTAAGTTATTGGTGGATCTGCAATTTTTTCTCGCAAAACACAGAAAATCTTCAACTTGCATGATTAGCTGATTCACCAACATCTTATATCTACATGCCATCCTGTGATTTCAATGGTTAGCCACTTATTTCGGATAACTGAAGAACCATTCTTGTTAACTTTCGTCACTTTGTTGGTTTTTCTTCTTTCACTAAATCAACTTTTACAAATGAATTCTTTTTCCGGACTAAAAGCGAACTTAATGGTTCGTTCGGTGATATCAAGATATTGCTAGTTTCAAGACGGGAAGTTAACGACAACAAAAAACGACCTAAACTCGAGCTCTGATCTTGAATCACGTTAATCAACGGTAAGAAGTGCAGTTCTTTCCTTTCGACGCTTGCCGTGAAGGTTATATTAAACTTAGGTTCTATCAAAATCTGAATAATGATGAAAAAGGAAACAAGTCTTGATTACAAACCTCAGGCGCATGTACCCACGTCCCTATATTTCCGACGTTATTACTGGCAAGAAATGAAAAAAGATGTAAAACTATGCGGGTATGTGTTGCTCGAAAAACTTCAAACTTAAGAATCAATCTAGCCGGTTCTTAATCAATTGGCAAGGATAGTATCATCACGTTCAAAAACAAAGTTTATGAACGTTCAGTTTGTGTCAACAGATGGTGTTTGAGTTATCAAACCAGACAGGATGGCGTCTCTTTGCTTGTGTATTCGATTTGCCTTACGGTAACACGATGAGTTGTACGTCGGATGTTATAGGCAAGATGAATTAAAATTGCCTCCAGTTTTAACGCTAACGCACACACACAAAGTGATGTTGGATCTTCACCAATATCTTGCCAGAAACTTTAACACATTTTAATAACAGGTTTGTCTCTAATTTTCAATTTCTCCCTCCTAATAAGTACTGACGTATATGTATTTTGCTTGAGGCAACAGAATTTAAAATTACCCATATAGAAAAAAAAGGAATTTTTTTTTTAGGTTTCCTTTATCCAGAGCCGCGTTCAAACGGTTTTGAAATGATTGTGGTAGTTTCGTGCCATACGAAGCGACAAATAAACGAATTCATGTACTTAGCGCCTTTTAGTGCCTTCAAGTTCTTCATGCGATAACAGGCAAATAATGTGTAAATATTCATCATTTGGTTCGATTTACAGAAGCACCTGTTCTCATTTTAGGTTATACATTTCGTAGTTTTAATTTATCCTCTTTTTAATCATCCCTGTCAAGGAGCCGAGTGCCAACTAGATAACTAATTGGCAGAATTCTAACTAAAAAAATCAATTCAAAGGGGACCTTGGGCAGCAGGGGAAGCAACGCCGACGAGGATGCCGTTTAAAAGTGAATTCATATTTTTAGCTAGAACTTCGCGAATGGTTGTATGTGTTTACCGTCTCTTCAGGAGCTAAACCTTAACTTCAACATAACGTGCGTGAGCAGCTTTAAGTTCCAAAGGGAAACTAAAATTATTTGCTGTCGAGATTTCCGTTCTCAGACCACACAAATTTTGGTAATTTTACGTTGCTGTTTTGCAGAGAATGGCTCAGAAATGTACAAAGCTTATAACGCGCTTGAAGAGCTTTTTTCCCGCTCATATGATCTTTTGGTTTTTCCACTTTCTTTTGCCGTCGCCGTTGTGGGTCCTTATATTTTTTACTCGACTTCTTCCTCGCCCCCGGCGTAGCCGTCCTGACAACTTAAAGTCCCTGACCCCCAGGCACTATATCAATGAAAATGGGATAGTATCCACTGAAGATAGAACCCACCAAAATCTACCAACATTTACATTAGAAACAAAAACATATTTTTTTAGTTAAAAACATGAGAGAATGAATGTAGATTACCTCGTTTCATTTTCCTATTGTAATATTAATCTTGCTAAATAATTGGCCTCTTCTAGTTCAAGATTATATGACTGTTCAGTCAACCTCTTCTTAAAATAAACATTAAAAAAAAGAAATAAATTTTCAGTTTTTGCAATCTTACTTTTTATATTTGATTGGCAAAAACCCGTCAGGTATATTGTCATTATTGGAAGGACTATTAATCGTCCCAATTTTAGTATTGTTAAATAATAACAAAGGTGATACCAAAATAATAATAATAACAATAATAACAATAATAACAATGATAACAACAACAACAACAAGAATAATAATAATAACAATGATAATAATAGTAACAATGATAACAATAATAATAAAAATGATAATAATAACAATAATAATAATGATAATAATAATTATGAATATAATGATATGATAATATTTTTCAGCAGCATTTTCTTTTCTTTTGGAACAGATATTTATCCAATGTGTTGTCCTGCCAACTTAATTAAACTCTTTTTCGCGCGTGCTGCGAATCCAAATGACAAATTTATTGGGCACGAATTGCTGTCCTGTTTAAAAAAGACTCATATCGCTAAAAGAGTGTTCACTAACACTAAAAACTAGAAGCACGCCTGGAAATCATCGTGGAAAGCGAACCTTTTTCATCTTCAGAGATATTAACGGTTATCACTCAAGTTTCTGTTCCTTCGAATAAACACCAAAAAATATAATAACTGTGGTTAAAGCGGAAATTAAAACTAATTGAAAAGAACTGAACAAGATGACGGAGGAAATGTTTGTTACAATTTTTCGCTTTATTTGTTATTTTCGTGATAAATGAAATTTTTGTTCATTTTGCTGTTTTCCTCGAAAGAAATAATCACTTTGAAATTCTCCACTATGTTGTTATGGATTCAACAAAACCAGCTTCTATCAATCGGCAAACAGGAAGGCTCATAACCACCTCTCTCGCATTGTTTTTACAGCTGAGAACGAGGGAAATCAATGATTTTGATCCAATTTTTTCCTTTACTTCATGGCGGCATATATTGTACTATTAAGCGGTTGACAGAACTACATTGCGCAAATGATTTCTCAATCAACATTTCCCTCGCTATATTTATAAGTCGTTAGATTTCACCAGATTATAAAAGCTATCAGAAAAAACAGATTTCCACTTACCCTTGTTCTCACTTTTTTTTCTAAGATCGACGTTGACGTTTTTTCTTCACTTGTCATCGATATGATTGCAAATGACAGTTAAACAAAAAATACAACAGCGGTATAAGCTTAAATCTTAACGCTTGATATTGGTGAGAGCATTATCCATGCCAAGATACCTGTCTAATTTTCTGCGAAGCGAGGAAATCGGTGTCAAATCTTCAAAGACGAATGGACTGTGATTTCAAAAATTATAACACTTTTGTTTGTTGCCTTCAAACCAAATCACATTAGGTTATACAGCTGCGAAGCCAAAAGGGGCTCCCGCAGGGTGTTTGAAATGGTGCTCTTTGGCAATCTCAAGATTCTAGTGGCCTTAGAATATTGTTTTTTAAATGGTGTACTACGATTCAATACTGCGCAGCGCGTGTGAAGTACATTTGCAGCATACACAGTATTTTCATCGTACTATTTTAAAGACAGACGAAAACAACAAAGTCCTTCTACTCATCTCATGGAAGAGATGTAGCCTGGAGCAAATTGCAGGAAAAGAAACTAGTATTAATCCATGTCGGGGAGGAATGAGAATTTTGAATAATGTTTTTAATAACAGTTTCTCAGCTCACTAGATGGACATAAATTTTACAATCCCCATTCCTTTTCCTGAAGCTAAGTCACTATTCGCGTGAATACGGCACCAAAACTAAGAAGACGATCTTCAGCGACAAACGCTGACCAGGTGATCAGTGTCGTTTTAGCAGCCGGAGCTGTTAAAAGATACTGACGTCAAATGACGCTATGAATTATTTCGAGATCGCATAAACGTCATGATAAAAAAAATGATTTGTAGGCGAAACAAAAAAATAATTAGGTCGTAACTTGTCGAGCAAAAAAAGAGCTTTTAATTTTTCAGTAATTTTCAATCTGGAAACACCCAAAAAGCTATTTATGCGTCAAATCATCAAAGACCTAGAGTTAAAAACTAAATAATGGATATCCCTTTTGAGCCCATTAAGAAAAGCCTCGTGGGTGATAAAATCCTTTTACTAGCTTTGTATAGTATTTACTGGATTTATGCTATGGCGGTACTCTTCCTTCTCATAATTAAAAGTATACTTCACCCCCTTTTATTTCGTTTTTTAATCTGCTGTGAATTACTAGAAATAAAATGGCCGTTATTTATTTATTTATCATTAAGTCTTTTTTATGCTAGAGTGCTTCGTTTCTTCAGAGAGTCGGTTAATTTTTTTTTAAGCAACTAGCAATTAGTTTTGTTTTATCAGCTGGACCCCAAACATAAACTTTTCCATTAAAAGTCATTAAACTACTGATATCAAAACAATCAGAGGTGATTTCTTTCAGATCAATAACATCGGATGACTCTCTGAAAAAAAATTCTCACCTTCACTATTTCCAAAAGCGTCTTGATTTGGAAGTTTCTTTTGTACAGAGAATAAAAACAGTTACATTTCAGCAAATTTCAGATGCTTTTCCTAACGTCTTGTCTTTGG